TTACCATCACTCTCTGTACGGAGGCTCAGTCACTGGTACACTTTTATTTATAAAGCTATGTTGGGCAAACTCCCGTATTACATCTGTTCTCTGGTAAAGCAGAAAGTTGCAAGCAGCTATTGTCTGAGATCGCAGAATGTAGTCTTGTTAGATGTACCAAGGGTAAGGACTGTTTTAGGTAAGACAGCTTTTATGTGCGCAGCTCCACTTGCTTGGAACAGCCTACAGTCCAAATTGAATTTGAGCAATCTTATTTCTCTGAATGTTTTTAAGGCATGTCTGCACGAGATGCTTTCTGACACTATGGGTGTTTGTAAGTGTTGGTAAATATGATGTCCTCTATTGTTTGTTTTTATGTTGTTTTTATGTTTCATGTGGAACTAAAGTGATGCAGGTCTCCCTTGTAAAAGAGATCCGTGATCTCAAGGGACCTATCTGTCTAAATAAAGGTTTGAAAGGAAATGAAATGAAATTAATGCATCAACTAAGGTATCTCAATCATCATGACTTCTGAGTTATTAATGATGTTCATGTCTTCTTCATATAGATCTGCTGTTAAAGCTGACCAGTCACAGCAATTCCAAGTGTTGTAATCATGATTAACTAAGCATACTTCATCATGTGTGTGCCCCTTCAAATAAAGTTGTGACCTGTTCCGTCGTTTACACTGATAAATAACATGTGATTAATAGCCTATGTGAAATCACCTTATTAACCATTTGGTGCTCATGCATCAATCATCTTTATGATCCCTCAAATAAAGTCAGCCCTTATGTCTATTTAGGCATCATGTATTTGGCAATATTACAAATGCAAATTAGATCATAATTTTTGACTTAATTTCAATTATCAATTATTTAGTTAGGACTTTTTATGTAGCATACAGTATTCTCTTAAAGCTCACAAACCATTTAAGATAACTCATTCATAATATTAACAAACTTTCATTTTTATTTTTTTCATTATTTCAAAGCCAGCATTTTCACATATCATGTCACATAAGAAAGCAATACACATTTTGGCAAAGACACAAGATACATGGCAATAGTAAGTTACTAGTAAATCATACCATGTTTATATTGTTGAATTATTTGTGATTTTAACTTGACCACAACAGATAAAATGCACTGAAATTACTTTCGTATAGATCATCAGGGATTTATCTTTCAGAAAAAAACACCTGACTCATATGTAATGATAAGAGATGTGAGGCACGAACAGGGGCTATCTTGAAACGTCCATCTTCTTCATATCTGAAGTCAGTGAGCTCTTGGTGGGTCAATCAGGGAAACATGACCCGAATGTCCTTCAGTCAACGACCGAGAGGTCCTTTCTTATGCCTGTTTCCTAGCCAGTAAGTCCATTCTATAACTGCAAGATGTTCTTTCAAAAGTTTCTCAGTTCGATTTCCCCTAAGCCGCCAAATTATTGATTTGTAGTTAATCATGATTACAACACTTTGAATTCAACATCTTTGTCCTCTTTTAAATCTTTAAGAACACACTTTTTTAAATGCAGTTTTCCTTATTTATCCTTTGCCAATCCGTCTCTGTCTAATAATAATCAATTATATTTGTTTTACAAATGTATTTTTTGGACAGGAAAGTGGGAATTCTACCCTTTTATGTAACTTTTTGTGATGCTTTTTTCTTTGTCATTTTATTGGATTGTTTTTTCAGTTTGTTGTTGTGCTATTAGATGTGTCGCGATGTACCATATTGATAGTTAATATAATATTTAGAAAATGGAAAATGTATATCATCCTAATAATACACATTTGATAATATTGTGCTTTTTGTTTTGGTATTTTGTTGTATAGTAATGGATACAGGCTCTCTATCCACCGCCGTACACTCATATTATTTTTGTAATTTAATAAAGTAAAAGATGATTATTTACAATTATTTATATTCATATATTATACAACATTCTGATAATTTGGCAGCACTATGTGATGTTCAAATAAAAAAATATATTTTGTGGCTGTTGTTAGTTTGTATAAGCTATGAGTATATACTGTAAACTATGTGTAAGTAATCTTTGTCCAACTACACATGCACATGATACATTTCCATCAGGTCTTCCTTTATTTACAACAATTTAATGTCACTCAAGAGCAAAAAGTAATTCACTTCCAGCTCTGTCCTGTGGATGACAGGCATGTGGCCGTGATAAAACATAAAGCTGCTTCTGACCTTGCTCAATCTAATAAAACCCATAAATCCTGCCTTGGTGGACCTCTTGACCTTGTGTGATCTCCCAGCCTGCACCACTGCACAATCTACTGACAGACCGGGGTGTTTCCTCTGGGACGGCGGCTTCTTTCGTCGATACCGTCTTGGTTTCTAATGAGAGCACTTATCTCCGTCATCTGTCTGCGCTGTGATCCTCTCACATAGTGCAAGGCGCCGGCGATGTCCTCCTGACACTTAATTAAGCCTGCCGATTAGAGAAAGCTTAAAATATAAGTCACGCTCAGTAGGGCCCATTGAGAGGATCCTTACCATTTCCATTCAGTGTGTTTACTGAGCCTCGCACGTGGGTGGAGGCCTGCTGTAGTTTTTGAAAACACAGTGATATCCACCAGCTATGAACACAGTGGGCAGAATGGGCTGCAAGGAGATAGAGGAGATATTCAAAGTGTAAAAGAGATGGTTATGTAACTGAAGGGACTTCTCATCATCCAGATGGGGATTTCGGAGAGGTATTGATTCTTCAAGTGCGACAGCAAGAATGAACACTTACCACTTCATAGGATTAAGAGGATATCTGGTCATTCACTGTCATTTAACTCTATTTAAATCCAGTAGACTTAAAACAAAGATCTATAGACGAGTGCTGATTCACAAATAAGTCTTAAGCCGGGCTACATACACACATAGCATCACTGTTTACCTTAGTTTACCAGGTGTACTTCTCGGTATCAACTGATAATTGATAAACAGTGTTTCTTTTGTATTTGCTATACCTTTCATACGTTTTCAAAAAGCATGTTTGTTTTCAACCTGTTTGAATGCCTCTTTTATCTGACGCCAACTTTTTGTTTTTGTTCAAGCAAATGTACTACAAAGAAAAACATCTTTGGCAATGTCTTTATTTTTGATTTTCTTATTTGAATGTGGCTTTGGTTCAAATGAGTTGAAACAACTGATCTAAGACAAAAAGAGATGGAAAAAAACCTTTGAACGCCTTGATTGTTAATTTCTTAACTTTAATGTAAGATCTTGAGTACAATTCATGTTTAATTATCTTTGTCGCAATGTCCTTGAATCAGGTTTTTAAAAATAGCTGACAGAGAATTAGCCTAAAGCTAACACAGGAGGGTACGTGATGCTTGAGCTTAATAATCCCCCCAAAAATCGGACACTTTTCCCACCGCATATAATTAATAAAGGTATTATTTAACATGATAACCGTCTGCCACAGGCTATTTGGCTTTCATAACGATTGTCGGCCATTTGGGGGCAGCAGCACAACTAATATTTGACATGTTATCACCTATAAAAGGTGCCTATTGTTTAATGCCGAGAAGATATGGAGCAACATTAGCATTTATTTCGAGTTTTGTATCTTTCCTCCAATTAATGTAGGTTGAAAATTCTAATATTCTAGCTAATCTTTGGTCTCCACCAACAACAACTAGCAGCTAAATGCTCCACTATGTTAGCAGACATTGTCCTTACTTTAGTCTCTATGCCATGTGCATGGGTTTAACTGAGCTTTAAAAAAGAAAAAAAGATATGATCCATTGTAAATGTGGAAGGCAGAACAAAATAGTCTAGCACTAGGACCCAGATAAGGGGCAGAGTGTATAAAAAGGGGTGGGACGTTCACCTTGGCCTTTTTTCTCCCCTGAAATGAATATACCTGAGAGAACAGCTGAGGCCATCCTTTGTTGTTCAGATGTTTACAAGCTTGATTTCATTGTAAATTGAAGAGCCATGAAGTTTAAATATTTATTTTAAATGCAGAATGTATTACGTCCCACACCTGGGCTTTTTGTTCATACTCCATTCCTAGTGGAGTCTGTTATTTCATGTATTAATACATATTTAAACACATTAATACAGTGGTATCTGACTTCAGTTTGTTATGGTGAATGGGGAATCATTGGTTACATTAAAATAGAATGTATGTAGCTTTTTAATAGCTTTTGGATAACTGAAGGAGGTGCTGATATACTGCTGCTTGAACAACCAAAAAGCTTTGCACCAGCATGAAACAATCTTCTCGAAATGATCACCAAAACCTAATTCATTTTCTTTTGTTTGTGATTTCACTTATATTTAGGACAGGAAGACAGGAAATAAGAGGAAACTGGATTAAAACCAGGAACACTGCAATGTTGTGCTATGAGCATGGAACCATTCTGCTACCAGATGCCCCAATTTAAACCAACTTAGTTAGTGTTTATCTTCTGACAGGATTTTTTGATTAGGCCTATTACTATTCACCAATAACTGCAGTAGAATACAGCTCATGCTCTCATTTTAAATAGTGAAACGCAAATTAATGTTTTTTTGTTGTTGAGCTAACGGACTCAATCTAATTGAGGTAACAATAAAACCTAATTATTCTGTACAGGTAGGCTACACACATATATTTACACCTTTTTCCCAAGATGGCGTCCCTCTGCTTCCCTCTGGCGGCAGCTTCACCTCACAGCGGGAAAACCTGATTATTTACCTTCAAAGACACCGAGGGAAAACCAAGGTACATAGACCTATTTGAACTATTTGTAATCGAAAGCCTCAGCTGATATTTATACTGGAGGAACTGCTTCACCCTAACATCACCATCCATCCATCCATCCCCTCCACCTCCTATACCCAACCGTTCCCACTCAAGGACGCGCCCACAATGAGAGAGAGAGAGAGAGAGAAGAGAGAGAGAGAGGAGAGAGAGAGAGAGAGAGAGAGAGAGAGAGAGAGAGAGAGAGAGAGAGAGAGAGAGAGAGAGAGAGAGAGAGAGAGAGAGAGAGAGAGAGAGAGAGAGAGAGAGAGAGACAGGTATTCACGGGAGGTGGGGAGGGAAGCACAGTCGCTGCTGGCCATTAGGACGTCAAAAGGACAGGAGGGGATGTGTGTTTGTGTGCTCATGGCTTTCTTTCTTCTCCCCACGAGAACTCGCTTCTTATTCCAGACGCAGGTGTAGCCTCCCCCCCGAGGTTTTTACACGCCGGAGTGGGAAGAATAACATGATGTTAAACGAGATGTGGCGCGTATCTTTTGTGCGCCGTCTGCTCCCGCGGCTGTGAGTGTGATGCCGGGTCTGCACCCCGCATAGATGACCTGAACCGGGCGGAAGAGGCGGAAACAACCACAGCACCTGATCCATAAAGAGGATACTTATTGATAACCATGGCTGACCAGGTAAGGCGATACATTTGTTTCCCCCCTCCAAGACCCACCTCGTGCGTTCTGGACAACACACACACACCCTCCAATGTAGAGAATAGCAAGATATCTTATCATTGTTTTTGTGCAGCACACTTTTTCCCTGTGTGTGTAATTCAGTTTTGGATTTGGAGCATTCTGTTATATTTACTCTCAGGATATAATTTTTTTTTTTTTTAAAACAGACTTCCAGTGTGTCTGTGTGCTACACAATGGCGACTTTATAGTTAGATTGATGAGTGTCATGGTGTCTGTTTTTCACTTTGTGGACCATTTAATTCAAAAAATGCCTTCATATATACTCCAAAATGAATTATAATGTGCAATAGAGTAACATGGCAATGCAAAAAATCTGATATAACTAGGCTTTAGCTGGTACCGAAGCAGAGAGTGTATTTGGCCTGTTAGACTGGTGGGATCAAAAACATTGCCTGTAGTATTAATTTTGTATTGTGCACTGTTGTTTGCCCTAGTTTCTCCACAGCCTTGCGAGAGAAGGAGATTAACCCCTGACTCTCTGGCTCAGAGCGGTCAGGATTTCCTCTCTCTGCTCGTATAGCTCCCCTGAGAGCAGCTGACTCTAAAGGCCATGCTTAATTGATTAGCTCGTTCAATTAACCTAATTGAGCCACCCGAGTGAGGTGTGTGTGTGTGTGTGTGTGTGTGTGTGTGTGTGTGTGTGTGTGTGTGTGTGTGTGTGTGTGTGTGTGTGGTGTGTGTGTGTGTGTGTGTGTGTGTGTGTGTGTGTGTGTGTGTGTGTGTGTGTGTGTGTGTGTGTGTGTGTGTGTGTGTGTGTGTGTGTGTTGTGTGAGGCAGCCACACCTCAACTGCACTGTATATTATTACACTGCTCTACTCTATAGTATAATGTAATACATCTCATTACTATACTGTAGTGTACTATACTATAATACTGTTTTTCAGTACATGATATTATACCATTGTATTAAACAATAATATAATTGATAATGTGATATATTATAGGATTATATTCTACATACTGCATATTACCGTGAAATTGTACAAATGCTACATTATGATAACAACTCAGTATTTAAAAAAACTGATATATAGAAACAAAGCAAAAGCATGTCATGTCTTTGCTATGGGACTTACCAGTTTTTACAATCCAACGCATCAATACCACAGCTCTTAGGTAAATCCTTACTTGAAGAGTTTATTACTTTGAGTTTGTGTTTAAACTGTGTCAGAGAGATGTTTAATCGGTTCATTTTCATTTGTGCGGCTCTCCTTTGTGGTGATGCTGAAATGGATCCCATTATATAGTCATAGCCTTTCATTTAGCTCCTATTCTGTACTTAGCGTTTCCACACGCTGGGCCACAGAAGCCCAGGGGTGCTAGTGGAGCTAAATTAATTGCTGCATTAATATTGATGAGGGTCGTCTATGGTTGACCTGCTGTGGCTGCAAACACACACACTGTTACGCACGTGAACGCATACACTTCTCTCAGCCAAACTATTGTTCCAGATAAAACAGCTGACACCTTTCCTTTGCTTAAATGACTAGGGATGGAGATCAAGGCTTTATGTTTCTGACCCATTTTCATGTGAATTCATGCGCAGGTCACTATGTACACATTGTACAGTTTAAAACCACCTGCACCCACATGCATACTGTCATTACACACAGCTGCAGCCTCTTTTTCTCTCCCCCTCCCCTGTGTTTCTTACATTATGTCTCTCTTCTATCTCTGTCTTTATCAACCTGCTGTCTTCTGCCTGTTATTCTCGTAGATTTCCTTTTGACACGCTCTGAATCTTCTTCGGCATCTTCCACTCACACTGCCACTTATCTGACTCACCTCCACTGTTATAACCTCCCTCCCCTTTACACACAGTGGAAAGACCCTTCCCCCATTATTCAGTGTTAACAATAACCAGAATAAACATTGTTACAGGTAAATCTGCAGCCTGTTTTGAACCTCTTGGAAAATGTATATACTGGCCCCTTTTCTATTCTAACACCTCTCTTTTATGTGTCTCGTTTCATTCTAGTACACTATGTTTCTCACCACGGCGCCCCCCCTCCGACGTGGAAGCACACCCTTACCTCTCAAACACCAGCTGCGGAGGGAAGAGGCTGTGTCTGAGGACTGTGATTGGATCCCTGGCAGTGAAGCGCCCGTCACGTTGCCCATCAGTGACACAGCGGTGCCTCGGGATGAGTCCTTCAGCCAATCGGCAGTCGCCCAGTCGGCTTTCAACAGCCACAGTGGGGCGTTAAGGATAGTGCTCCTTGGACAGAATGGCGTGGGCAAGTCGTCGCTAGCCTTATCTCTGGCCGGGCAGTCGGACAGATCCCTGTCTATAGACTCTGAAACACAAGCATGTGGTAAAGACTTGGATTGGGATTGGTGGAGTGTGTTTTTGTGTGATTGTGCACCTGTGTTAGCCTCGGCAACCCGTTTATAATAAGTCCCAAGAAACAATTCATTTAGACACTCAGTGTGGATTTAAAACAGTCAGAATTCCTTGCAGTTAGAGTTTGATGTTAAGATTCAAATAACTTACATCCACGTCCCTACGCTAAATGTGAAGATTGAGCAAGCGGTTGGTTAGCTTAGCTTAGCAATATAACTGGAAGCGGCGGGAATAATCGATTCTGGCTAAGTCCAAAGCCCAAAATCTGCCTTCCAGCCCCTCTGAAAACTACTTATCAACTTGTTAAAAAGAATAACAAATGTTTACTAGGCACAAGGCCAAGCCAGCTGTTTCCTTGTGTTTCCGGTTTAGCTAAGCTAACTAGCTGCTGTTTCAAATTACATATAGTGTGCAGACATTAACGGTGGGGTAGGTAAGTTTGAGAGACCGGCTCGAGATACACTTGTTATTATATTCCATGGAATGCTCTTAACATCCCGATAGCAATGAATATCTTAAATGCTTTGACAAAAAAGCCATTAAAAAAATGTCATCAGTGGAAGCCGTAGTACTGTAAAAAGCACGACCAATCATTTTAGCCGGCCCGGCTAAAGTAACTGGATGGCCTACCTGCCTGTCAGCCTGCCATCTGTGCACAAACTTATCTCGTGCCCTCATTGGTCATGTGCGCGTTCGTGTGTGTTGGAGGAGGGGCTCTGTAAGGAAGTGGCAGATTTTTCCGGCTGTGTATTTTCAAATTCTAGCGCACTCGAGCTGGTTTCTCCAAAATGGCCTACCCCACCTTCAAGTGGTATTGATAAGTGAATGGATTTGTATATGCAACCTCTTAACAAGGCCTAGCTATTTGTTTCCAACAAGTTTCAGTTTTTCGGTAAGCTAAGTTAACGGCTAGCTGCTTTCATATTAAACAGACGGATGTGAAAGTGGTATCAATCAATCTTCTCATCTATCTTCTGGGCAACAAAACAAATAACTTATATACTGCTGCGGGTGTATTTCCCTTCAAAGCTTATATAAACAGCCTTGATTTGGCCTCTGTCAGTCACAGCTCACTGCAACAACCAGTGTAATCTGTTGTCAGCCTCAACCAGCCAATTAATGAGTCAGTGACACTAAGAGACGTCTACCCTCCCTCGTGCATCGAGCTGACTTGCCCCTGACTCGTGTTATACAGTATTCATATCTGCACATGTAGTACTCTTGGATACATGCATCATAAATGGACAAAACATCACTTTCATCCAAGATGCTTGGATGGTCCTGGCATCATTATTATACATTTCAGCAAAGTGTGAATTTATTCTTTAAGCTACACATACAACATTGCAAAGTGTAAAACAAACACTAATCAACACCTATTTAATTAGCACTTTTTGATAGTATTGACCAGAAGCTCCAGCAACGTATCAGCGCAGTGTTTACAACTCATCAATCAATATGTGCCCACACCAAGTAATTACCACTGTAAGACAGCAAGCCTTGATTAACCACAGGAGATGTGGCATGCTTGTGTCTTAAAATAGACTTGTCATTTATCATACTGGGTTTTCCAATCTACTTCAAGCTATGTTGGGTTAATGTGTGTTTTAAGAGCTGCCTTGCAATTAAAGGTAGTTTCTTGCATCGATGAAGTTAAATGAACAACAAACATTTTTAAGTACGACCCTTTTGGCTTAAAATGTATATTGTTTTATAGTGTCAATAACACATTGGTCTTATTAAGAACTATGATGTGTTTAGTCATAGCCTGATATTTCATAAAATGTATGAATCCACATCTGAAAATCGTCCCACACAAATGTACACAATATGTGGTTATGCCCCCCAATGTACATGTTTGGAAAAAAAGTTAATATTTGTAAGGGGTAAAACAAATGGCTAAAACATTGTTGGTTTGGGTTTTCTTTCAATGGGGTTTGTTTCCAAAAATAATAAAGAATATCAGGCGTATCCTTCAAATTGGGGTACAAAAATGTTGAGATAAAATTGCCCTCCTTAAACTGAGGAGCAGATGTCTGTAATTGGTTGCAGGAACACTTTCGAAAGACATAATTTGGCCCCAATTTTGACATGAAACTGATGTATGGGCCATAAGAAGGTCAAGGACATTTTACATCACAGTCAAAATAATTTATCAACATCCTCAGGCAGCAGTTGGGACCAATGCCATTCGCTTCAGTTCATATTGCAGTTATACTAGGTCTTATTTTTGTATTTCAATATATAGTTCTCCTACGATTTCATGGCAGTGTGGTGTTTATCTGTGCTGATATGGGTATTTGTTTACAGGAGAGGGATACGAGTGCTCAGTGACAGTGGACGACGAGGACAGCAAACTCATAATTTTCGACAACTGGAAACCGGTGAGTGACTGACTCTGTGCGTCAGGCACTTTTTCTCATACGGTTAAGACTGAGTGTCTTCTCTTGACTCCTTTCTTTCTAAGCCACCATTCACTTCATCTTCTTTGACATTCATTGCCTGTTTAACTGGGAGACACTTGTTCCATTCCTGTGATGGGTAAATTATTTGTATGAAGTGTGAGGAGAGTGTGTTTGCTTTTAAGTGCGTACAGCAGAAAGCTTGCACATCTTCCGGCGCAAACTGAAAACTCATCTCTTTCGACTCCACTTCGAGCGATAGAACTATTAACAAAGCACTTATATACTAATAAAGGACTGGCTTATCTAAAGCCAGTTGAGTAGCACTTGAAATGTTTTTGCTCTATGAAGCCTGATGATTATGATATGGGTATATACTATATATGTATATATATAGTATATAGGTATATATTATATATGGGTATATATATCATGATATACTGATATGATTCTGTTTTCTTCAAGTTGTATTTTGTTGGTCGAATGCACTTATTGTAAGTCGCTTTGGATAAAAGCGTCATTTAAATGCAATGTAATGTAATAAAGTGCGTACAGTATGTGTGTGTGCTACATTGTACAGGGATTCCTGCAGGAGCATCTTTTTGAAGTTCTCTCATTCGTAAAAGTGGGAAACCGCTCTGTTGTAAACTTTACTTGTTTCTATTCAAATCTACAGTCTTTTTCTAACAAGAACATTTGGCGAGGGCTGAAATTGCCGTGGCTCTCCTCTTGAGCGGAACAGTGGGAGAGAGTTAATACTGCCCTGTGGCGATGTTTTTTTAAGCAGGTATAACCGAGCGAGAGCAGAAGCAGGGAGCAATAAGAGCTTGTCAAAAAAGCTCCTTGTCACACTTACGACATTGTGCGAAATTCAAAAGCGTGCACATACTAATGCCTGCTAATAATGTGATGGAACGGGCAAGCACTCTAATTAGTGTGTAGGGTAGATCCTCATCTCTAATGCATCTCATTCCAGATGTCCACTCGGCCTTAAAGGGCTCTCCTCGTAAGGTTAAATTATTCACACGCAGATACATTTTGCTCTGGGGGAACTCCCCTGAAAGCTAGTTAATTTCTCCACTTCCTTACTTTTTCTGTAATCTCTCCGCTCCCTTTCTAGCCCCCAATTTTGTTGACCTTCCTTCTTGCAGCTGTCATAATCTTCAGATCTCGCTGCCCGCTGGGGGGATGGGGGGGGGGGGGGGGCGATGGAGGCAGAGAGGGCTGGAAAGCGACCCAAATCATCCTCCAATTCATTCTCATGATGTTCAGTTGAAATGCCCATGGATAAAAGACACACAGGTGAAGACCTTCCCACAGGTGTACACACAGATGTTGTCCAGCTGCCTAACATTTGTTTTGGCCCAGGACTGGCACGGCAGTAACCACAAGTCCCATGAGCCAGGGTTGCCGTAGCGACATGCAAAGACACACACACATACACAGCGCTGACTTACTCAGTCACTCTCACATGAGAGGATGCTATAACAGTCAACATCCAACTCCTTTGGCTGTGGGGCGTCTAGTGTTCTCCGTCCAGGCCGATCCACGCCTCGTCATTCCCTTGCCATACAAACTGCCAAAAAAGATGAAAAACTGTAACATACACACTCAGTGATTGTTCCTTTAAGTGCTTTGTGGCTGTCAACGTTAACGCGTTAACCCTCGCTATTAATCTGGACACTACTGTGGCTGACCGGTGGCAATGAAAAAAACAAATTGACAAAAATCAACTTTACTGAAAGGGCTGCATAAACAAAACGCTACAAATACAAAAAGCTGCAAATAAAAAATGCTGCAAACAGCTGAAAGCACAACGAAAACTAATTTCAGCGCTATCTCCTAATGGTAATTTTTCCGGCCGGTGTTGCGTGTTTGCACTTTGCAGGCAGCGTAGTGATTCTTAAAATTACACAAACTCATCACATTACCAAGTTTGTCCCACAATTGCTTCCATTATTCCATCATGGAGTATACATGAATTGCGTGGCAGTGAAAAGCCAAAGGAAGCGGATGAATCAGCACAAGCTACATGTACTCCTGCACTGACTGGTGACTATTGGACATCAGGGCTGAAGTCGAATAGTCCATTTAGCTTAGGAACCTTCCTAACGGAGTGAAATGACCCGGAAGTCCCTCAGTGGCAGCCATGATAAGTGCCGTTCGAATTCTCTAGCTTAGGAACCACTGGACCTCCCTTACCGAAAGGAGAGGATAAAATGCTGCCCCACAATGCCTTGCAGCCGCAGCATTTGCGTCACACAACAGTCGGCCGTTCACGGAAACAAACGATTATGACGGAGAAATTATATCATGAAAGTTACGGTGCTTATTAAGCATTTTAAAACGTATGTGGTAAGTTGCCAAAGTGCTTTGTTTTGAACGTTCATCAGTATTATAATCAAAAAGAGAAATATGAACGTTAGTTTTTACTGAAATTATCAAATAAAGTCAACATTTCAGTCTTTACTGAGCTGTGTGGGGTTTGTTCAACTTTTAAAAGATGTTTGAATGGTGATATACACAGTGATAGATGTTAAGGACTAACGTTTATAATAAATACATTTGTATTGATTTTAAGATATTTTCATACAATCATACGTATTGGAATCATTTGTATTAATGTGGACCTGAGAGAGAGGGTGACGAGCATACATTTCACTTTCCTTTTTTATTTCAATTCCAACTTTGGTCATGAAGAATATGTTTCTCTGTTGTCCACGTTCATAAAGCATAAAGCAACAGCATCAGAGCACGGTGCAGAGTCTCTAGATGAGTTTACAGTAGTCCCTCCTTATTAAACATCCATGTTGTAGTCCGCTGTATAGAAAACTGTAGTTTCCATAGTTTCCCCACAGCAGCAGACGCACAAAATGACGTCCGCTGAAGCATCATAAACACGTCGGATAGTGAAAGTGCATTCGGATTCTCTAAAGTACCGCAGTCTCTTCTCCTAAGTCCTTTTGAATTCTCCTATCCACTATCCCTTAACCCCGTGACGTTTCACTCAGAGGTCAAGGAATAGGAGATAGGGTTAGAACTTAGGAGCTGATTTTTAAACTATCCGACCGCAACCCAGGAAACAGTGAGAACTACTCCGGTGTAACGGCACATGTAATCCATGACAAATGGCAACTGCACTTGCTTTAGGTGTGGTGAAAACAGAGGAAAGGCATTTTGCTGACGCTTCAATTAGTCAGTTACTTGAGGTCTAGCAGAGAAAATCACCACTGGAACAGATAGAGCTTGCAACATGAGAACAAATAAATCAAATATAGAAAATCCCAAAAACTTGGAAATGTTGAGCCTCATAACAATTGTTTTTCCAATTGCATTGTGGCGCTCTGAATCAGAATCGTGATGTGCCCAGAGATTGACTCTCCCATCTGCCTGGTCATATGTTTTAAGAACACCAGTACACACATGCACAGAAGGCTGAGAGTCTGCTGAGCCAGACTCTGGTACGTCGTGTATTCTGCTGATGTCACAAGCGTTGCATGATTTAAATAAGTAATCAATTTTCCCAAAATAGAAACACTGGCATCTTGGCCTTGACCTAGCCTGCCTATGCTGCCCTTTGCCTTCAGACTGACATTGTTTGTGTAATATATCGCTAAATAAGACTGTTTGAAGGGAATATAGAAGGAGATCCAGATCACCCTTTTTAACTGTAATGTGTGTTCTTCTGTGTCAGTATCCATGCATTTGCTTGATTTATTCTGAGCTCGAGCCAGTTCAGCAGTTGCCATTATTATTTGATAGCTTAAAATTTAAATATTTATCAAAGAATACAAAAAGGTGCAGCCTTAGGCCTGTAAAAATGTAGGCCATCTATGTATGTGCACTTGCTGCTACCCCCGTAGGGCAGGATTGTTTATTATTATAAAGCAAATTAAAGAAATAATCCAGGACGTCATTTGGAAGAAGATAATTGCTGCTTGACCACATTCTTTTGCCTGATTAGGACGGAAGAAAAACACTGTTTGGTCATCTATTGAAACAGAGAGAGAGAGAGAGACATTTTTCGAGTGTCTCCAGGGGTTCTTTCTCTGGATATTTTCCCTGCTTCCTGTTATGCTATCTTGCAGCCTTATGAGAGTCGCTCTGGACTACATTTTCTCATTTCATGCTCTAATCCAAATAAACTATTATACCTTAACAGTTGTGTTTGTTTTCATCTCTGCTGGGAGTCACTGCTCAATTTTGTGTGAACCAAAACCACAACATGGAAAATGTATATGCTGCATTCTGTTTAAGGGATAAATATCAAAATCCTTTTCAAGTGAAATTGAGTTTTCTAGTTCAGGTGGATTGCCCTAGCTGAGAACTGACAAACTAAACAGCTCAAACCATAATCAAATTATCACAAAATGATCTGCCTTGTGTCTGTTAAAACGTCTTAGACAGTCTAAGTTGTTTTAACAGGCAGATGATTTGTTAGCAAAGCAATCTTACCAATTTGAAACGACAATGCAGCTAGCTACAGCTAAATTAAAAATCCTTCAAGGGGCCTGAGCCCTTAATGTATCTATCTGCTATAGTTCACAATTCACACACAGGAGCAAAGCAGAGCTAGCTTGAAATCACTCAAACACGATGTAATGCTACAATAAGCTAGCTAGTTTAGGAAGCTAATTCGATCAAACATGGCCGCATCAATACTGGCCGCTTTAATTGTCAATAACTGATTTCTTATTTGGAACAGTGTCTCTCTCAAAACTTCAGATTATGGCATTTTCAGTATTTATCGAGTTTGTGAAATTTCCTTTGTTTTTGTGTCAACATTCCCAAAATAAATGCAGGATTGAGTGATAGCACTGCAGCCGGGAATCGCCACACAACCCAGTCTCACGGCATTTCGTGTTATAGTCAAGACATTTAATCTATTGATTCGTGTTCACCAACACGATTTCCCCCTTTTTTTCGTGTAGCACAGAACGATTTTAAAAGCAATTTATTTATATTGGTAGTATGTTTCGTCA